CTTCCAGCACATCATGAATGAATACAGCAGAATCTGATGGAATATTAAACACAGCAGTGTGAAAGCACAGTGAATGTCTGCAGCTCTCAAAACCCCTGGAAAACAGATAAGCACAGCTCTGCTCTGGAGGAATAGTTTTGTGACTGGGGAGGCTCAGCATGTGGTAAGTCCTTCAAGCCTGGTTTTCCTTGGTCAAGTTCCCATGTTGCAACTGTTTTTCCCCTTCCCAAACCAATTGCCTTATGTAAGGACCAGATTTTGGTGGATAAGTCAACGTTCTTTTAATAATTATTAGAGTCACTCTAAGGGTGCCGCTGTGAGGATGCATTGATACTAATTTTCTAGGGATTTGAAACCTTACTGTCATTGATACAGCACCAAAGCAATGTACAAATTCACTGAGTTACAGAGCATATAAGTAAAGCCACATGAAGGCTTTCAACTTCTCTTCTACATCCTCCAATTGCTTCTAAGGCTCTGCTAATTTCAATACTTGCTCTGCCTTAAAGAAGCAGTTCTGGGATTGTCATTGACTTTCTCTAGAAAGCTGGTTGTTTACAAGACCCATTTAAGAGCTGTGAACCACCCCCTGATACAATGAGTAAAATTTCATAGAATTTTTACTGTATTAAGTGTTAAACAGCTGCACAGATAGTTCAAAATCAAATAAAGAGATCACAGAGGAACTGAACAAACATTTGAAGCCTCTCAGGCACTCAGGAACCATTAATTGAATATTCTATTTCTGTGACACCTGTGAATTCCTTTTTAGGTATATTTGAGTATTTGTAAATACACTGAAATTCAGTGATCTCAGATTTATATGGTTGTGCAAATACTGCTATTTTATTCTTTAGATTTACTGGTAGATTTGGAACAAAATTATCCAGGAATCAAAAATAGCAGGGAGGCAAATCAGCCAACCCACGGATCAAATATGTAGATACAGCATCCCTTTATGTAGATAAAGTATCCCTTTAATTTTTCATTAATTTACTAAGGAAGTTTACGAGCAGTATTACAGCATATGGTAGAACACGTGGCCATCAGGCCCTACCATATGGCTGAGCCACGACTTTGCCCTTTTAGCCAAACCTATCAGAGGCTAAGTCAGGGCTGGAGGAACTCGCCCTGCTCCATGTTGGGGGTTTGCAATCCAGAACCCTGCTGAAGTTTCTCTCCTGCCCCAGATGTGCTGCAATTATCAGCTGTTCTAGGAGGGAGCACTGCTGGTTAGGGGAGAAGCAGAACTCTGCCTATCCTCGTATGTAGAGGTTGCCAGGAAACAGAATTTCTTCTGAAATCTCTGAAAGAAACATAGTTTTGGTTTCTAGAGATTACTTAGGGAAGATATTTGAACTTTTCTGGAAGGAAGAAATGCAAATGAGAGGGTTGAATCAGCCCAGTTTTAAAACAAATTGAAACTCATGGACGTGTAAACAAAGGTGATGTCTCTGGTTGATTTGCACAACTGTTCTTGCAAAAGTTAAATGTGCACAGACTTCTCCTCCCCAAAAACAAACAGGCTGGAGCTGAAACATTTATCTTCAACCCAGCTGATTTATCTCATCTATGTGTAAATGAGAAATAGTTGTTGGGGTATCTTTAAAAAGCAGTATATTCACCTATCTCAAACTCATCAGGTGGATCCTAGACATTGAAGGCATTTGCAAGGGAGAGCAATTGCTGACAGCTGAGGAACATAGACTTTTATCTGCAGTCATAATATTCCATAATATGTGTGCTGATTTGTCCTGGTTAAAGCAGAAAATGAACTTACTCAAATATTAGTACTACTGTAACAAGAAACAAACAACAGCCACCATTCCTATCCCAAGTGTTAAATCCTTTCTGGATTTCCTAAAAACCTTTCCCATTCAAATACAGAGAGAAACAGGATAGAAAATTAAGTGGAAACATTTGTTTTTGTGAATATATAACAAAAACTAAAATAGGAAGTATAAGGGAAGCAAAAGAAAAGAAAGCATTCCTTGAGTTCAGGCTAGCAAACACCTTTTGTTGGCTTGTAAATGAAAAATTATCCAGCTATTTTTTCTCCAATTAAATATTTGAGGTCTCCATAGCAACAGCCATTTTGCAAGACGCATATACTTCATGATCTGGATATTGAGCAGCTGAGTAAAGTGGAACAGGAAATGCTACAATCATAACACTTTTTAGAATACTTTCTAGGGAAAGAAGCAGTACCTACTGCCACAGAGCAACAGTTTTCTTGACAGTAATGTTAATTTTAAAAGTTTAAATTTTTTCTAAAGAAATTATGCATTTCTTTTTCTGTTCTTATTGTCTTGTGTTGTGTGACATGAATTTTAAAAAGTAGTTTTACACAAAAATTAAAATAAAACTTAATTTTAGATTTTTTTAAGATGTGATGATACAAATCTAGCTTTTCAGCAGGTCAAAGTGCTTTTCAAATCACTGAGGTCACTGCAGAGATACTAGGTTATAGGAGCTGAGGCTCTGCAGTCAATCTGTTAGACTCATTGGTAAAAGAAATTTTAAAATATTGTTTCTCTAGCATGGCTAGAGAAACACAGCTCAGCAGGTGCTGTGCAATGGTGCTGTTCCCAGCCTGTTTCTCTGAGTGTGAATTGCCTCACAATGCTCAGTTGGAGTAGCTGCTAGCTCAGCATATTTGTGAGCTATATGGTACATATTTGTACCATATCTGTGGTACATTGTGTTCTCCATAACAGCATTACCTGCTTTTCCTTCTCCTGTATGAACAACAGGTCATCTTCTCTCCTATTTTGACTACAATGTCAACAACAAATTGGAGCCAGGGGCAGAGCTGCTAAACCCTGATAAGATGTGAACTGAAGCATGACTTTCTTAGATATGAAGCAAATGTTTCTACCCTAGAGGAGATCTGTTATTTTATTTTTCCTTAAGCTAATTGGAGGTTTGTTTTGCATTGTCTCAGCATGGCAGTTTAGGCACCAATTCTGTCACACAGGCTCCACAGACTTTAACAGGAGCATACCACACCTGAAAATACTCAGTTCTGTGAGTGATGTTTCTGTTGGAATTCATGCTTACCAGAGCTAACTAGCTAAATACAGGGGATTCAAGGAGAGGATTAAAAATGTCCTGTCTGGCAGGAATTGCTACAGGCACTTGTATTAACTGAATTATTAATCTCTATAAAGTACTTAATGCCTAAATAGTGGTTTTTATATTTTCAGAGATAGCATTCTCAAAGATGCCTGATCTTCCAAAGGGAACAAAAAATGTCATTGAAGCATTTCCATTAGGGAGAAGATAGGATCCCCAGGGTGTTAATCCACATCTTTGAAAGGCTGAAAATCTCAGGAAGCAAGCAGAGCACAAGCCATTGTCAAAGTTCTGGCAATTAATTTTCTCTTCTCACTGCATTTTACTAACTTGGCTATTGATGATATATATGTTATTTTAATGGTCACGTCCAACACAACAAAACAACAATTAACTATATTGGAGTTAGCCTTTGCTATGTATGAGTAAGTTCTACAAGTCTTGAAAGAATCTTTGGGCTACCCTTAGATACTGGACAGCTATATCTGTTTCTATAATACAAAAAAAGAGTGGCACTAGCTGATGAGTTGACATCCAGACAAGGACAGCTTTTTATGAAGAGTTGCTACAATGATCATCATCATGAAGGACCCTTCAGTGCAGAGCTGTTTGACCTACCTCTGCAATGCTTCCTCATCCAGGTTTTCTTATGGAATATGTTTATTCACTGATTATACAGATTTGGCTGAATAAGGATTGTATAATCTGTATGTTTAACCATGGAAACTGCCTTATTTATAATGTTGTTGCTTATTCAGATTGTCAGAAGTGTTGGTAACATGATAAATATTCCCACTCTGTTACTATTAACACTTGGGTTTAAAGAAAGCATCCTGCAAAAACACCTGGACAGGAGCTGTTGAGATAAACCGAAGTCTACATCAGCAGGATGTTGCTACAGGTAATGTCAGCTTTAATGTGAATGTGATTTGGAAAGATTTGCACAGTGTGGCCAGCATTTGACAGAATTTACAGTTATCCAGCAGTATCTGCCTGATAATCTCAGTGTCTTACAGCACACAGGTAGTTTTCTGTTCCTGGAAGTCACAACAGTGAAGTGACTTGTGTGGGAGATCAAATCTCTCAAAGTCAGGACAGCAGAACCTCCATTTATAAATGAAAGGCACTGCGTTTTCATTGATTTTACTTTATCAGGAATCATTTTTGAGCAAGTACATGATCCTCTATCCCAGTGCTTTAGTTCTGCTCAGACACTATGAAAAAGAACAAGGGAGCATTATCAAGCTGATACTTTAAGCAGAAAGCAAAGAATGGCAGTGACAGGCAAAGAAAGTGAAGCAGTGGAGTTGCAGCTTCACTTCCAAGGGCTTGTCAAGCAAGGTAACTGAGAGTATGAATGGACACAGAACAGTTTAGTTGAATTAGATTAGAGCAAAACCTGTCAATAAACAAGATCTTAAGACAGGAAAATGAGAAATAACAAAAGAAAACAAATTATTCTTTAAAAAAAACCAAAAAAGGTATTATATTGCGAGCAAAATGAAACAATAATCAAGTCAATGCTTTTAGAAAAATTCTGGTGCATTTTAGCTATGCAGCACAGATCCCATATGAGAGCACTACCTCTGGACCTACATTCTCTGTTATAATTTCTCATTAGTATCATCTTAGATTGTTTACTTCCCCACTAATATTAATAGAAATAATCATAAAAGCAATAACATGTATGATCAGGGTTGGTACATGCTTCAGACATTCAACAATACATTTTTGGAGCACTTTTCATTCCTTTCCTAGTATTCACAATCATTTTAGATAATCAAAGCTATGAGAATATTGCTTTTACTTTTCTAGCTAAGGTTTGGCCATCTCCTGACAGATCTAGTGCCTAGTAGACAATGTAAAAAAGTTTTGATCACTCCATCTCCTGCTCCATCATTTCACCTCTCTGGGCTAAAACTCCAAGCACTGCTTGCCTTATAAAAGAGATGACTCTGCCTATATGTTACCTCCCTGCTGCTTTTCTCTTTTCATAACTTGCCAGATTCTAGGTTATCCATTACAACTCCAATTTGTCAATATAAATGCACTCAGGAAGCTGCATCAACGTGAAGTCAACAAGATACCATAATTAAGGATATAGCTAGGCAAATCCTATAGCAGGATTTTAATGTGGCATAATGGGAATGTGAACCACCAGGACTCTGACTTAATTAAGGAAAAGAAAATAAAAAGTTATCTATTGTTTCATTGTCTCGAATCTATGCAGGACAGACCTCCTACAGAGCTACTGGTGACTGGCTCTGGGTCAGTTCTTAATTCCACTCAACGAATATCCCAGAGATCAGTGCAGCCAGGACCATCAAAGCCAGGAAACCAGAAGGAAGCAGTTCAAACTGTTGTATTTGTCCTCAACATTTTGTGACTGCACTCTTACGCTCTGTCATTATATTTATTTTTGCATAAACATTCCCTTTGGACACCTGGAGTTGACAGCAACGGGATCTTTTCAAAGTACATAATCCAAAGATGTCATGCTTGCTTCAAACTGCTTGTAGATGAAACAACAGCTGGATGAGAAGAACAATGAACAGGTAAACAGAGTAACGGGTAGATTATCTTTCATGCAGTAATCAGCAGCCACAGTAAAGCAAGTGCTTTGTTAAAGGAAGCACAGCAGTACTTTACAACAAATTATTCTTTATTTTACAAACTCCAGCCACTCCTCTGTGTCAACAAATCCTGTTTGCCCTTCTCAAGGTGCCTGGGGGCAGAACATGAATGACATGTGGGCTAGAAGATACATGGGACAAGCCATGGTTCTCTTTTTTTATTTTGCTCTGATTTTTATTTTGCTCTTTGATTTTAACCAATATTTTTGCCTGGGTCAGTGTATATATTCTCTAATATATTGTTGAAGCTCAATGCTTTCTCTTCTGCAGTAAGGTGCAGTTTGACCTGTTAGCTTCTCTTTTCAATAGATGTTGATTGGAAAACTTCAAAACATCAGCTGCACAACACTACAAGATAAAATACCCCTTGATGAGAGAGACATGTAGCAATTATGCCTCATAAAGTATATGCTTCAATCCCTGAAACATCACCGTGGGTATACATTCTATTCTCTGTGAGGCCATCTCCTCATCTAGGTTTTGCTATCTGCTTGCAGACTGATCTCCTTTTGGTTTTAAAGAGGGAAAAGGGAGTAAAGTACATGTGACAGTGATAATTTGCAACCCATACCAGATAAGCCAGTCCTTTGGAGTTGTTGCTTTTGGGGTCGGTGAGGGAGAAGGTTGTAGGTGTTAGCAGGGTTTCTGCTCCTGTAGTTTTTTGTTCATTTGGTGCCAGTTGAATGTTTGTCCCTTCGTGCCATCAGTCTCTCTACAGCTTGTCTGTTTCAGTGGAGAACAGTGACAGTGCAAAAATCTGGATTTATATATCTCTATTTTGCAATTCATTAAAGGTGAGAAATGAGGTTTCTGTGAATTGAATTACTCTGATGCAGAATGCTTTCCAACAGTTTATAAACCTGTTCCCTCGGGTTTCAGTGTTAGCCAAACGAGGACATACAGGTTTTTTATCTTGGTTTTCTAGATTCCCAGATAATAAAGGCAGCAAATATATTCTTTAGTTCTGCATCATGGCATTTCAACAAAATATCCACGTCATTTGTATCACTGTATAGAAAGTTATCTGCTTGCCTGTTGAGGTGGAATGATATTTAGTAATAGCCCTTGTCTCCATGCTGCTGAGTAATTTAAATCATCTTTATTGATGGATCATGTGAAGGCCTAAGAAAAATATCACTGTGCTGCACCTGAATTTTTTATAATTAAATAACAGAAACTGGGCTAATGATATTGTTTCTTACAGTAATTGTATCAATTAAAATAATGAAACACTGTGGGAGCTTAATTTCTAAAGTTCTTATTTAAAACCTAAAGAAATTCACTGTGGGCTTAGGGCTCTCTCCCATGTGCTTTACATAAATTTGGAACATGGGAGGGTTTCAAAACACTTATGCAACAGCAATTAGGTATTTAATTACTCCCTTCTATTAGATCCTGTTGTTAAATCCAGTTCATAATGCATGAGCATTCTGGGCTATCAAAGGCAGGAGCTTCAAACCATGCCAGACCAAACAACTTGCTGAGGCAGAGGTCGTTAACTGGAGTAGTAACCCTGGTGGTATTTCCATATTTGTAATAAATAAACTCTAGTAATGGTGTCTGAGGGAAGATGGGGTGTTGGTGGCTCTGCAGTCCTAAGAGCAATCCCAGCCCACCAGGCACTGCAGCTGATCAGCTCTTTTGTGCCCTGAGTTTTGAGTCCATGACAGGCAAGTGGCACTCCCAGGCTCACAGGAAGAGCTGCAGAAATAAAGGACTGTGCAACTCCTCATAAAAATAACCTCTGACTTTGCAGAGTCCACCCCAAACACATCACCTTTCCTTCTGTGAGATAAAATATTCATCTTTAGCAAGCTCTAATATAGTTTTTACCCTGAGGCCACTAACAACATAGGGCTCAGAAGTTAATATACTGACCAGTACCACAAACTAAATTTTTAACTGAGTATTAACTGGAACATAGTAAGCTCTTTTCAGCAAATTAGGTTTGTATTGATAAAATGGCTGACGTGGAAATAGCATGAATTTCTTAGTGAGTTTGCTTTAAATGAGCTTTACGAGCTCAGTAACATAAATCATAGGACTTCCATTATTTAATTTTTTATCTCAGTTTTAATAGCTTCATAATTCACTGTTGTTTTTAATTACCATTCATATCTTCAACAACAACAAAAAATGGGCTCAAAGAAATCAAGCATCAGAACATGGTTTTGATTTAGAAACATTCACAGTATTAAAATAGAATTGTTGCTCCTAGCTAAACTGTTTGAATTATACATTAATTCATTTCCTCTGGTTTCTCTGGTACTATTTTGGAATATTTTTTCAACCACTGATTTACATTTTATGTTCAAGCTAAAATTCCACTTTTATATTCAAAGATATTAGGCCAGCTATATAATTTATTAATTCATCAAAGTGAACGCCACATTCTACCACGAGTGTCTGATGTTGGCTGCTCACCAACCAGCAAGTGCCACAGGGACAGTGAATCAGAACATTTCTGGGGCATCTGCAGAAATCTAAGATTCAGGAAAGCAAATGTAAACCCCAGTGTGCTGTGGGTGAGAGCCAGCCAGGAGGCATGTCAAAGTCCAAATGGCATCCTGAGGCACAGATGCATGCTGTTAACTATGCCACTTTGGTTTATGGGAAGAAGTCAGCTCATGATAATAATGCTTTGTCAGTCATTCATTTTTCTGAATCTAAACTGCAGCTGATGTACCTTACAGTGCTGTGGAAGCTAAAATGTAGTGGAAAAACTCCTGATCCACTTCAGTGTGAGTACAGCCAAGACAAACTGTACACTGCAAAGGAATAAATTGATTTAAATCTTGCATTTCCTTGAGTCCAGTAGTGCTACACCTGCTCACACTTTTATATTTCACAAGTATAAAGGTGCAAAGAGAAGCTTCTTGTTAATTTTTTATCCCAGCCAGATTTCCTTTCAGCCTATCTCTCTGTTTTCCTGCTATGGAGCTGGGCAGAAAACAACATGGAGAAGGGTGAGGGCAGGTGCCACCCTGCACATCCAGAGGAGTCCCCACTGCCAAAACACTGGGACACCATCTCCACTGGAGCACCCAGTTTGGATCATTCTCCCTTGCAACAGTGACTGCAGCTGTCTTTGGATCAGACACTCAGCAGAGACTAAACACAACTGCTTCAATGTCAGGTGTTAATCATGATGGATTAATTAATTAGAAATTAAATTGCTGACATCCCTCTTTGTTCCTTCTCATCAGGACATCTTCCTCCTTCATCTGCAGCAGAGTTCAGCTGAGGCAGAGCAGAATGCAGACGTGTAGCTTGCACAGCTACAGTGGGAAGTAGATGTGGGTACATCTATGTATATACACAGACATATGTTTTAAATAGATGTACATACATAGATATATATACACAGAGTGAATAGCTGTCACTATAAATAAACAGTGTAAAGAAATGCAATATTTACAGATAAAATTGAATCATAAGCTCTCGCTGTCCAGAATCTAAGCAGCTTTTTTTTCAAATTCAGAGATTAAAAAAAAAAAAAAAAAAAGGGAAAATATGGCTGTATTGCCACCTGGAGGATCTGTGTGTCTTTACCCGTGTGTCGTGACTGGCTGCCCAGGACAGGATGCATGTGGTGTCTCTGAGCACAAGTGTTTAACTGCAGAGGGAAGAAGTTCCTGGCATTGAAGTTATCATTAGAGGTCATTTGAATCAGCTAATTGTGTAGGTACACCTTTTATCAGTCTTTGTACTAGAATAAATAGCTCCAAAGCCTGGACACTTAATTTATTTTTGTGCTCTAGAGATGACGTCTCTGTGCCTTCAAAATAAACTGCTGGGTGTCTCTTCTTGGTTAAAGGAAGAGGCAGGAGGAATGATACTGGCAATGAAAGGGGTCAGAATTCAATGCTTCCTTTCAGCTGTTTTTCCTTTGATTTTGACTTGCAGTTTTAAGACCCTTCTAAATTTTAGAGTTAGGAAAATGTGAAGAAAGCTCTCTTTTAAAACCCAAGATTAATTCTGGAGTTGAACCTGTTTCATTCAAGGAGATCTAAAAGCCTGAAATAAAATCCTACCAAAGGCATTAAGTATTCTCATGCAGACTCTTCCCCTTTCTCCCTGCTGCCTGCCACCACCAAAGGGAAGAAATGGCACCACCAAAGGGAAGAAATGGTTCCTTTAGTGAAAATGATCCAAGTATGAGGCATAATATCCCTTGGAGTACAGCAAACATGATCATCCTAGCACAGGCTGCACAAAGTGGACTCATCTTCCATTTCTGTATCTACAGGGACCTCCTGAGTCCTGTCCTGAGCGCACTGAGGGTTCTGCAGCCTCCAGGATGTCAGGAAGGGACAGAGCCCTCGCCACACTGTCCTCCTCACCAGAATGAAACAGCTTTTCCATTTCTCTGACACCCCGTGAAGATCTGCCCTGAGGATGGTTTCAGTGTGCACCAAGGATGAGCAGTGAGGACCTGTGGATATCTTCTTCTAACCAGGTGTGGAATGGGTATTCTGGCTCTGGAGCCTGGGTAATGGAGAGAGGCCATGCCACAGAGCTGGTAAATGGGGCACGGGGCACTCTGAGCCTCTCCCAAGCAGAGAAAGAAATGAACCGCCATTTCCCAGAGCAGGCACGAGGCTTTGCAGGCCGGCCAGAACTGTCGCAGAGTGCCACCAAGGCGGCAGGGAACGCCTCAGCCGAAGCGCTCAGCCATGCAGGCCGGGCCGCACGCCCGTGCGAGCGGCCCTGCCCCGCCGCGCTCGGAGCCGCGGCCGGCAGCTCCCAGCCTCAGCCGAAGCGCTCAGCCATGCAGGCTCGGAGCCGCGGCCGGCAGCTCCCGCAGCAGCGGGAGCGGAGTGTGCCGCAAACAGAGCTCCGCGCACAGGGATAGGGGCACTGAGAGGAGGGCAGCGCTTTGGCCCCCTCTGCCCCTGTCGCTGCCCTGTTTTGTCGCTGCCCCACGGGGCAGGGCCAGGCTCGGCGGCTGCCGTGCCCTCAGCCCGGCCCTTGGGGCGCCTGGCACCAGCCTGGAGCCTGGGCGCTCCCCGCCTCACAGCCCGCACCTTGTGCACATCCCTGGTCTCCTGTGCCGCCGCATGGCCGCACGCAGAAATGCAGCTCTGCGGAGGAGCTTCTCTGCTCTTCCCCTGTGATAACAACGAGGAGAAAAAGAAATAAAATTAAGGAGGCTGTAACAGTGACAGCAAAATGATGAGCAGGCACCACTTGGAATGACAAAAATTCCTGAACCCGCGCATAGACAAATGTTCTCACATGTCGGTTTTCCCATTATGATTTTTTTGTATTTTATGTTCTTGCTTAGGGAAATTAGCCTTTTAACAACCTCTCTTTCAGAAGAAGTAACTTTAGTTCCTGATCATTAAGGAAACACTTATTTTCTGTATTGTTATGTCTGGACAGATGGCAGCCATTCCTAAATATGTCTTTATAGGACTAAAAATAATATTTTAAAAATAACGTTAGCTGAAGATAATGCTAAGTAAAGCAATATCACATACTATTATATTCTAATTCCCCAGAAAAGAGATGCCAGCAGCTGCAGCACAGTAGCTGAAGCATAGCATTTCTCCTTGTGTTAACCTAGACATTGCGAGGGGGCAGCCAGCCACAAAAGATGCTTCCCTCCAATTATTGTACTTATCTCGGAAATAATCTGAAAAGGGCCATCTGACAGGCAGAATGCCATCTTTCTATTGCTAAGCAACCCCTGATATCTCTTTTCAGGAGGAGTGATCAGCTTCCTGAAGAGTACACAGCTGAATTTAAAGAAGCCTTTTTTCCTTCTACGTTTCTTTTATTCTCTTTCTCATTTTTTTCCCATTTTTTAAAACTACATAAAACAACTGGTGATGATCCTATAATTACAAAAAAAAAAAAGGACTGGGAAAAGCTTGCTAGGCAAAAGACAAGCAAAATCTGAGCTGCAGACTGCAGTCAATAATACAAAGTTGACAATGATGGCACAAATAACCTTCCACCATAGCTGATGCTATGATGCTAAAGAAAATTAAATACACCTCTCTATGCAGAAAATTTGGTTTGGAGAGAAAAAGTGAGAGAAAAGTGGGAGGTAGACTACATCTTCTTTACATTACGCTTTCCCATTCCTTTTCTTCCATTTGGTTCTACTTTCTTACTTCTAGCTCTTATTTGGCAACAATTCAGCAGCATAGGTGTTGAGATTGAACATGTACTTTTACCCACTTTTGTTGCTTGCTAAGGCCCTTAGTGCTACCTTTTTGCTGGTTCCCTGTTTTCCTTTCTCCTTGTCTCTGGGGTCACAGGTTTCTGCCATTTACTCCTCTTTCAGCAGCTCTCACTTAACTGAACAAGTATATTTCAAGTTGGCAGTATGACAGGTTTCTGCCATTTACTCCTCTTTCAGCAGCTCTCACTTAACAAGTATATTTCAAGTTGGCAGTATATCCATAGTGGTGTCTTGAAGCCAGTTGTTTACACAGTGTGCTTTTCAGTGTGGTAAACATACCCACAAATGCTCTGTCTCGTGTTGGCTGTTTTCTCACTGAACCTTTGTGTTACAACATGCAGAAAGAGGTTTCTTGTGCATGCAGGGTTTTTTCCCTAAGCATGAAAAATTATGAGTGCCCTCACTGATCTTTTCAGTTGATGCAGATAGCAAAGGACTCAGTCAAAATTTTCTCCAAACAGGTCCAGATCTTAGGGTCACAGGTTTCTGCCATTTACTCCTCTTTCAGCAGCTCTCACTTAACAAGTATATTTCAAGTTGGCAGTATATCCATAGTGGTGTCTTGAAGCCAGTTGTTTACACAGTGTGCTTTTCAGTGTGGTAAACATACCCACAAATGCTCTGTCTCGTGTTGGCTGTTTTCTCACTGAACCTTTGTGTTACAACATGCAGAAAGAGGTTTCTTGTGCATGCAGGGGTTGCCTTATTCTTTTTTCCCTAACCATGAAAAATTATGAGTGCCCTCACTGATCTTTTCAGTTGATGCAGATAGCAAAGGACTCAGTCAAAATTTTCTCCAAACAGGTCCAGATCTTAGATCAAGTTCTCCCACCAGTGAATAGAGGGCATAGCACAAGATCTTCCTTTTCCAGCTTGCCCTCTGCCTTGTCTGCCTGCATACACTGAGATCAATCCATAATCAAGAAGCTCAGTTTAACCTCTTGAACTCAATGGCCACTCAGCAACATCATGCCATAAATAAGGATATTCTTTCCCAGTCTCTCAAGCTCAAGCACATACTGAAGATACAATCTAGCTTGAGCATGCTAGTGCTCAATTAAATCCATTGTCTCACATTTATCAGTAGCAATACAGAAATTTTCAGATACCCTGTTGAGGGATTGAGTAGAAACAATTTCACTGAACAAGGTCAGAGCTGGAATGAAAAAATGCCCACACAGGATGTATTTGCAGTTATCTTTCCAGTTGCAATGAGTACCTGGAGTGACTATGGCTTGAGTTTTACTGCTCTTTCTCTTTTTGTGAACGATGGTAGCAAAAGCACCCATCAGTATAAGAGTGAATACCAGTGTAGTGGGCAAAACAACTCTGAAATTATGGTCCGTTTAAGGACAGTTTGAAAGTCTATACCTGAGATAAATTCATCAGGTCAATTAGGCAAAGAAATAATTAACACATCAGAGAATGATGCAAGGGAAAATTCCTGGTGGGGAGGAATCTGTAAGGAGCCAGAGGGTTTTGTGGTGCAGGGTTATCCCCTGTAGTGAATTGCCTTTATGGAACCACAATTTTCTCAACAAGGATCTCCCACAGGCGATAAAGAAATCTTCCTTTTGTAAAAGACCTCAAAATAATTCAAGCTGTCTGCCAGTAATTAAATCCATTACACTAGCAACAGGTGGTAAAGCTGTAATTTTTTCACATCTGTTATCATTTTAATGAGTCAGTATGTATTCATTGCAAGAGCTGGGTAAACCACAGAGCAGAGAGGGCTGGGTTGATGGCTGTCATCCAGGCAGCTGCTGTGCTCACTCCTGTAGTTATCTGAAGAGCAGAGCAGAGGGGATGTGAGATTATCTGGTAGGCAGGAAGGGGTTTGGGCAGGATTCCAAAAGGTAGGAAGGCAGGGATTTAAAAGGGAGTTAAAAGATTTCATAGGTTCCTTATGGAGAAGAGTAAAAAAGAAAAAAGGGACTTTGGTTGTGTTTAGAGCATTACCTCGATATACCTTCCCTAACACACACTTTCTGTGTGGCCTGGAGCATATTCCTTGGTTGTTCTAGCTTAGTAAATTAGAAAACTAAAATCCCTGAGAAATTTCATAGTTGGTGAGGACAACAGGCATAGGACAGATCACAGGTATGTAAGTGAATTTACCTTAGTCTCCAAATCACAATGCATTTGTGCAAACTGGCCCCTGGGAATAGTGTGCCATGATGAAGAGGTGTGGGTATGTTGCAAGAAGAATTCTATTGAAGAATAGACTCACTAAGACTGAAAACTGCTTTTAATGCAAAGAGCACATGGAATGGCCATGGCTCTGGGTTGCTCTGTAATGCAGCAGGTTGTACATATCACTCCTATATAAGAGTAGGAAAGAATCCTGCTGCTGGGATGTGCAGTGTCCTCACTGCTCTGGAGAGCAGCTGCAGCTTTTTGCTGTACTTCTGAACTCTTGACTTCCCAAGACCATTTTCCATGTTTGGTGGCTTTTTCCACCTCCCTCCAAACAACATTCCTTCTTTAACTCAGAGAGGAAAGGCTCTGTAATTTCAGCTGTCTTTCCTTTACAGAATACTGGCAATAAGTATTTATAGAGATGTGAGAGAAGTTCACAGTCAATTTACATCCAACAAGGTGATGTGACACAAGGTTTCAGGTTTTGTTTAGGGCATGCTGCCTTTACACCTCTCCTCAAAGACTGGTTCCTTCTCCACTAGCATCTTGCATGGCAGTATTAAGGATGCTTATTATTGCATTGAGCTACAGTTTTGTAGTGAGTAAATAATTATTCACTTAAAGAACCTTTTAAAAACCAGTTTAGAACAAAAATATATGTAATTGAGCTATTGCTGTAGGAATTTCTTTAATTATATCTTGTTCCATGGCAATGAATAGATTACTGTAATTCTTTTTAAAGAATCATCATTTAACTGTACTGGAATTTGAACTAACAAAATTTTGCAGCTTGTTTAATGTTAATAGCTATCATTAAGCAGAGGCTACTTGGCTGAAATTTATGGCAAGAGACTGGGTTTGTCCAGCAGATATTTGCTTTTCTGGAAGCTCTCCCATGGGCAGAGCCACAGATCACTCAACTTCTAACCACATCCTCATGGAATTGTGTTACTGTGAACTCCTGTGTGGCCAAAAGACCATCAGAGACCACATATTTTCTTAATTAATAAAATTAGACACAGAAAAGTAATAACGCTTAAACAGCCTAAACCTCAGAACAAGTATTGTGTTGTTCTGGATAGGGATGGGTGCAGACCAAGTCAGTTCAGCCATCCTTCACACCCTCTTCTTCCTCCCCTTCATATCCTTGACTTTGGAACTGGGCCCTTGCTGTCAGTGCAGGCTGCCCCCAGCTCAGCCATTCTTGCCCAAAGGCATCCCAGAAGTGTTCAAGGTCCACAGACACCAGAGCATTACCACAGATGCTGGTGTGAATGCCCTTTCCAGCTGTGGGTGCCTGACACCTCTGCCAAGGCAGCAGAGGGCCTCCAAGCAGCCTCATCTCATTATTCCAAGGGGGAAATAAGCAGGAGAAAAGAGGGACTCCCTGATATCCAGTTCCCCCATCCTCAAAAAATTGAAAAAATTGAATAACTAGCCCTTATTTTGTGGAAGAGTATTTGCCCACAGAACACCAAAGTCATGATTCAAGTGTGGTTCTTCACTGAAACAATTAACTTCAGTTTCATGTGATGGCACTGATTGATACAGGAAGTCTCCAGAATTTGTAAAGGAAGGAACCAAAGCAGATTTAATGGAGTTTGGGGAAGGGTAGGCTCATATGATGGATTTAGTCTTCCTGAGAAATCATTGAATGTTGCTCAGTGATTCACTGACTGCTGGCCAGATCATTCTTTTTAATGATTTATCTGAATCCTTTTCAAATCCTTCCCTTTATTTACATTTCAGCAGTTCCTTTCCTATATGAATTCATGGTAGTTCTGTGTTTCCCAGGAAGATTGCAGGGAAATGGTTTCAAACACGATGATTACATATTGAGCAGATGAGCTGTCTCGGGTTTATGTCACAGCCCATCTGCCTGTTTGAAACAGCCTTCCTGCACTGTGCCGTCTCCTCTCCATCGGGCAGGCAGGGAAAAAGACTGCTCATGCTGCATCTTCGTTCTGTTTGACCTTTCTAGAGTGTTATTTCGCACACACACTCTCTAAAGTTTGCATTTCCTTCTGTAAATGTAATTTTAATCTCATTCTATTTTGGCAGCAGATACCATTGCAACAAAATCTGTTCATTCTTTATCCCACTATCTTCATTGTGGAAGCTGAAATACAACATGTCAGCTGGAGAAGGGCAGTCTGAGGTAAGCTTGGGGCACACACTTCAAGGCTGGATCCCACAAAGATCTGAATTGTAGTGAAAATCAGAAATGTATAGGTCTTGGTTCTGTGTTCAGCACTGAAGAACTTCTATACTTGAGTTTGGGCTGCGATCAGACTGAGATTTAAAGTGGAGCTTGATCAATTTCCTTCATCAGGCTTCCATTCACTGTGAGTATTTAGAATTAAAATATTTTCCCCACCGGTTTTACGTTTTACTCACTTATTTCTGCTAGTCTGGGTGAATACTTTGCATTATGATAAACCAGCCACAAGGTGTCAATGTAGTGTAGCAGATTATCAGTAAGGGTTTGTTACTACAGCATCCTTTGACTTTCAATGCAATTAATGTCTGCCTTCTGATAGGATATTTCTATCATTAATTGCAAAAATTCTGGTCAGATCACATTTTCTGTACCTGATTCATTTAATCAGTGAAGTCTTTTCATGTTATGATTGCCGGGGTATGAGGTGAAAAATCAGTATAAATGACTGAACTAAATAATGTGACAAGTCACAACTGCTGTAGCACTGTGTTTTAGAAGGAGAGGCTCTCAAAGTGGGATGTAGACTGGTAGAGATCAATTAATTCTTGTCAAAATATCAGAAGTGACCGTAAGCAAGAAAACACAATATGGGGATTCACGTTTCACAGTAAGGAGTCAAAATATCTGGATGAACTGATGTGTTTATAAAGCCCCAGTTACACTCATTTATAAGAGGTGTAATGACAGATGAGACCAGATAGTGATGGAAAAGCAATATTGCAGAATCCTATTTTGTGTCTTCTAGACACAAATTATTGTGTGTCATTAAATGTAAAAACAAATGCCTCAAAAGAACCAGAGCTAAAGCTGAGGTCTGAATTACAAGGGACATGGAAGCAATTTGATTTTGTTCCTCAACGGGGGGCTTGGATCTAGGGAGGAGGGGCCTGTCAGAATGAGAATAAGGAAAATTACTCCTGGAATTGTGAATATTATCTCTTTGAAGTATGCTTAATGGATTTGGGCTAAGAATTTTCAAAGAGGTTAAGGACTTAGCTCCCATTGAATGTCAGTGGCTTTTGGACACTTTACTGCCATAGTCTGCTTTGAAAACCCCAGCTTAGAATATTAATTTTAATGTACCCTTTTCACTACAGTAGGAGGAAGCAGATCCATGACAGAGAAAAGAACAGAGAAACTACAAAAGAAAGTAAGTTTCTTTGTATAAAATTCTTTCTGTGCAAATTATTTTACTTTACCTAATCTACTCAGACAAGTACAAAGGTACATAAAATAGGTGGCTGAGCAGAGGATATTACATTTCGTGACGCCCTTCACTTGTGTTAATGACCCTCTGATTGTGCTTTGCACAAAGTGGAGGGCACTGGTTAGCAGATAATACCATGAAAATATATCCTTGGGTACATTTATTAAAAGGACAAAGGGAAGATGGAGCCTGTTTATGCAAAGAGCTGGTTTTCTCAGGTTCTAAACCAGCTGTGACACCATGCTGTCCTTTGAGAGATATTTTATTGGGCAACAGATCAGTGTCAGAGGACAAAAGAGCAGCAGCAATAGATGCATCATATTCCCTGGAGCTCCCTGGGGGCAGGTTGGGACAATGGTTAGAAAAACTGCAAAGTCTGTGGGAATAGAACTCTTGCTGGTTTTGTGCTTTTCTCTTTTGCATTTTCTTTTCATATCATATATCTTAATGAGAGGAACGACTCCCTCACAGTACTGGTGTGATGGTAAATAAAATGCTACAGGGAAGCTTTAGGCTCTTCAGAATGAAAGTATGTTGAAAAGATGGGTTTGCATCGCAGAAGTGGCAACTAAATATGATGAAAAAGCCAGCAGAGAATCACTGCTAGCCCCACCTTACTGTCAAAGACTTGATATTCAAGTAGAGAAAGAGAATATCCTGGCTCCCCTTTAGTGGTATAGTGACACTGCTTTTTAATACTCTTTTTATTTTATCTCTCCTGAAAGGAACACAAATCTGAGCATTTTTTTTCTTGGAATAAACTGTGCAAAAACTAAAACAAATTGCCCATGATGCAGGTGTATTAGGTTTATAATACAGTGTTTGAGTGTTGGTGTTTTTTAATTGCTGTTATGCTAAAGAAAAGTATTTGTTTAGACAAGTGCTGTTGGAAGGGTACAAGTATAGAAGTGAGGTTGACTGGCAGCTCATTTTAGGAATGGGAGAATGAATGTTGAAAGAAAAAACATGTGCCAGAACTGGCATGTAAGAGAATCCCAGTGAATACATTATTTCAGCAGAAGCTTGTCACTTTCTTTACACCAGTAAAGAAAAGACAAGTGTCACTTGTCTTTACACCAGTATTACTACTGGTGTAAAGAGCAATAGGGTTTCTTTTAATTAAAAAAAAATCTCAGTCTCACAATAACCATAGTAATTGGTTACTATGACTGAAGTGCTTCTTCCTAAACAAGAGCACAAACTGAAGATTTAGATCTGTGTAAATGCAAAATGATTGTCTGTACAAAACCAACAAATTCCTCTTGAGATAAACACACAGGTTTCAAAGTGTGTATCCGAGTCAAGCTGTCATAAGCCCATCTGTTCTATCTGCATCTGAAAAATGAACACCACTTCACAGCAAAGAAAGCACTGAAAGTGTGGCACCTCTTCTTTGGGTTTTGACTTGTTTTATCCAGCCTGGACAAAGTAGACTATCATGTTAGATGATGATGCTAAAATACCTTTCTTTCACACTAAGACTGTGACATGCCCAAAACAGAGAAGCTAAATATTACCTGAGCATTAGCAAAGGGATTATAATATAGCATAAAGAAATGAGAACAATTACTGATTTAAAACTAAGTAATACATCATAATTACTTGTTGTATCCAACCTGGTCTCCCTCCTGCCTTCTTGAGGCAGATACACTTTGCTCATGTTTGTCTACAAAAAAAATTAATCTTCAGGATGTTGATCAGCCTCTTCCCACTCTTTCAGGGCTGCTCAGGATATTCTCAATGTTGCTACATTGAGTAGTTTTGTTACTACTATGCGTAGGAGCCATTACCTGGACAATGATTTTAGTTTTTGGCTGCAAACAGAAATTGAAACTTCCTGCCATGTTGCATTTACAATCACAAAGATAACATATGGGTCTGTGAAGCAGGAGCATCACACAGAAACCATGAGCCAATGTTTGATCAGCGTGGATAGCAAGGGAAATTCACTGCCACCAAACCCCTGGAAAGGAGAGCAGAGCTTTAGTGAAGGAATGAAAGGAATGAAAGGAAGATGTTATTGTGGCTTTGTGGCTTCATTGAGCCTCACTGCCCATTTGGAAAAAATCACAAGAATACTTGTGAGAAAACCTAGCGGCTGAAAGAATCAGAAAAAACTAGGTCTGCCATCCGTGAGGGGTGTTTGTGCTTTGCTGCCTCTGGACCCAGGTCTGTAGCATCTTGAAAGAACAGACCTTCTATTGAAATGACATGAAGTGGAGAATTTCCCAACTTGCATGTCCTCTGCTACTTCACACACTAGCTTTGTGCCTTTTAGTATTTAACAGGAGTCAGCAATGAGGAAATTATTTAACTTTAACTACCTACTCCAGACTTTGAGTTGTCCTAGGCTTCCCCCAGTTTGGAGTATTTGGTCTAAGAACAGCTCTCTCAAAGCAGGACACCCACTTTAAATTCAATAGGATGCTTTCTTCACAGATTTTAATGTTTTGGCAGTTCAGCCAAACACAGATCAGATGTGGGTGGCAGTATTCACTGTCTGAATCATCTAAGGAGGTTTAGGAGCACATTGTCTTCTGCTGAATGGTGTTACCCAAATTGTGACCTTAAGATCTCAGAGACCTTCTTGCAGCAAAGCCACTTGAATGACTGTGTCTGTCAGCATCTGTAGAAAAAGTTCACAAGAAAGGGGCTGTTTACAATTTCTTTCTGTTCCTGTTTTTTCAGATATTTTCTACAACACCTGACTTACATAATTTATAGTTTTAATGTGAAGTAGTCCTTAGAGAGACCAGGGAATCATTCCTGTGGTTATGTTGTAAAGATAACTAAATATGCAACGAAAACTAGGAAATGAGTATTTGCTGTTGGTTGGATCCCAGCACAGCCTTTGATACTACTGGGTATAGTATAATTCCTCTCAAATTGGCAAAAGGACTGTGAAGGTAACTCAAAGTCTTTAATTTGGCTATATTATGAATAGTTAGTTCACTTTCTTCCTCTTCACCTGAATTTCCTCCAAGGCATATTCTGAGTACCCACAATTGCAGCTGATTATTTCTCAATCTCCTTCCTTAAAAATGCCATTTTTCTTGGTTTTCATTCTTCTTCCTGTTAGAAAAACCTGCTTTAAGAAGCTTGGATCCCCAGGACCTCATGCTAGTGCAGCCATTGTTAGCTGTGCAGCACACATCTGAGACATCGTCATTTGGCCTCTCTTGCACTTCCTGCCAGTCACACAATCCTGGAGCATGCAGGGATAGAGGTCAGCCTAGCAAGGAATGATACCTACACCAGGATGCTGGTGCAATGACTAGGGGAGTCTAAGTGTTGCCTCTCTGCTGATATGAACCCTGAGAAGCAGAGAAGATAGAGAGATTAAAAGCATTTTTACTGCTACATGCAACAATACAGACACAGAATAGCACACAGGCCATATTTTGAGGGTACCTAATTTTGAAATTCTTGCTATAGTGTAGAACTGCTAGTGAGAGTTAGAGAGAATAGATCTTTGCAAGTGTTTTTGAAACACAGCCCTTCCTTAGCAACACACTGGTTGTCTGCAGTAACAGAGATCTGTGACCCCAGTGCACACCATCTTCACCTCCTGACCACAAGAAAAATGATCAAAAATTGTTGCTCCTGAAGGCATCATTCAGAACCCTGCCAGACTTGGTGTCATTAACCATGAGTCACAAATCTGATAATGCAATTTAAGATATTGAATCATATCCTCAACTTGTGATTCATTACAGGATTTAAATGCCAGAAGTGGCGTCTTGGACTCTATTCCAATATATGTGAGTTCAGATATCCTTCCAAAATAAGCAAGTGACTCTGAGCCATAAATTCAGTTCACCTCAACCACTAATAGTGCC